AATACAGAGGCCAGGGATAGCCTGTCTGGAACAAGTCTGTAAAGCAAAGGGAAAACGAGAAAAACAGAGAGGAAAAAAAAAGCTCGTGAGACGCTTCTCGGCCTGATCTACACCACCGTCTTCATGTTACATCGCGCACACCCCGAGGTTCCTCATACATCGTTTCTTACACCCCCCCCAAAACTGCCATTCATCCGTCCTGAGCCGGCAGCAAACCTCCGCTGCCTGCTCTGTCCCTGCCAAGGTGTAAACCGTGAGGCTTTCCTAACCGCACAACGCGTACCCTGTTGATCCCCGCCCTTGTTACGGTCCCGCCAGAAGCCCGAGTCTATCCATGACATAGAGAAAACAGCAGCGATAGAAACAAATGTGGGGTAGTCGCGGCACCAGCAGAGAAAGTGAGATGGGAAAGAAAATAATGAAGAAGAAATGAAATAAGAGAGAAAAAAAAATACACACCCCCGAATCGGGGGTGCGCCCAACCCGGAAGAGAGAAATTTCAGCTTGTCCTCCCTAAATCAACGCCATTCCGTGTGGCATCCTTTTCGTGACCCAACTCCAGCCCCAAGAGAGTGCCTGTCCCATGACCAAGCCTCGCTCCCCCGCCCGTTGTAGGGAGCACGAAAAGCCGTGAGGGGAGGGAGGCCCTGCCGTCATGCGGGCCTAGTCCTTTGTCCGGTGAAAGAAAATGCAGGCGTCGTAGCGTGCACCGTCGGAAAGTAATCGTGTCTCGTCGTCTGTGTCGTAGTCGCGATGAGTTGGCGACATGGGCTCTTTCAGTTCGTTAATTGCTTCCGCCGTGCGCGCTGGCGCCGGGCGCATCCGCATTGGACCCGCCACCCTCGACGCCCTGGGCAACGTCCAGGCACTTGATTGCAACTAAATAGCCTCGGCGTTAGTTGTGCAGCTGAAGAGGCGAAAGTCTCACGACACGTACTCTCCATGATGTCCTCTTCCCATACGCCGTAGTCATAGTCAATCAGACCATGTCGTTCAATGCCGTCGCAAAGTCGCGTCAGCTCCTTGCCCATCTTGATGATTGTTTCCTCGGTCATGGGAGTTTGGGATCGCTGGGGTGGCCGCCCAGACTTGGCCAGATCCAGTTGCGCCTGGAACAAGGCGAGCCAAGCATAGTTAAAGTCTTGCCACAGCTTCAGTCTGTCTCCGTGGAGCTTCTGGTCATCGAGATTGAGGCCTGTTCACCCGCAGTGGTAAGCCAGTGTTACATGAATATGAAATGTCGAGGGGCGGACTCAGACTCGAGACGACTTACCTAGGTCCGTCACCTGCGAGAGCAGCCAGCTGGAAACGTCGAGAAGCGACTGACTGGCACCCTCCAATGCCCCGGCGCGGATGCTTTGAAAGACACCCCGCAGGGCTGTTTGATACTCCAGCCATTTTTCTTCCAGGCCTCCTGCCGCAGGGTACTCTGGCTCCTCCAGCGAAACATCGGCGCTCGGTGCTGATTGCGACATGGCGCCTACGCTAGACATGTTGTTCGAGTAGCTCTGCACTTGCGAAGAAGTTTGGTAGGCTGACGCAGGCGTGGTGCCGGATGGCGCGTGCGCAATGTTTGTTGCTGTGGACGCGTTGCCGGGATCGTTCGAGAAGTACGAATTTGCGGGAACGTCGGTCGGCAGGATGGGCGCTCCTGCAGGCTGCCGTTGGAACTGCGACTGCGGATCGTAGCTGGCACCGGCGATGTTGTCGTAGCTCATGGGCATGGTGTTATACCCACCAAAGCTCTGCTGTTGTCTTCCGTCCTGACCGTAGCCAGCTTGGTAGTGCATCGTATTCGCGGCCATGGGCGCATTGAAGTTGCCTGGCACCTGCTCCGAGTAGTTGCTGTACGCGCTGTAGCTGCCTGCTCCTCCCATTGCTCTTCCCTGAGCAGGTGACGTGTTGAGTGGTGCGGGCCGGTTATATCGATCTACAGAGCCACCGGGAACAGAGCGGCGCGCCTGCAATGGATCTTGCATGTATCGTGTGCTGGTGGAGGGATGCATTGGTGGCTCGCCTTGCCTCCTCACGCGGTTGGGATCGTCCATTCCTCGGAGAGAGTCGCGCGCACTTGCCTCGTTGCGCTGGCCTGTCGAGTGCGCCGAGGGCAAAGGCGTGGTCGACGGATACACGAGGGTGGCCACTTGAACTGCCGGGTCGGTTGACACGACCGGGAA